GAGGTAGAAAGCTAGGTCTCAAGAGCATTATCAAAGTAACAAGTAAAGTAAAGCAACAAGTAATTGTAAAGAAACAATTAAGTGAATGGAGAGGACTAGGACTAGGTATTCTTTGGTTGGGTGCAATAGAATGGCCCTAAGTATAGGAAGTAGTGTAATGCATTGATCATGATTCTTGAAAGATGTTTCTATTGCCAAGCCACTCTCGTGGTCTAATTGGCCTATTAAGTAGTAAAATCCTACTCTCATAACAACCTTACTACTTGAGACATTTCATCGAACACTTAGAGTCCACATCTTCTTCCGAGCTCTACCTCTCGGTGCAAGGTGGGAAATGCAAGTGGATTAGGCTATAGTGTAGTCCCAATCTCTTGGAAACTACACACCTCCAATACCAATTCCATGATGTGGCCATCACCAAAAAATGGTCTATACAAAGTCCACTTCTAACAAGAATCAAGTCAATACATCAAGTCGCTTCCTAATTGCGATCAAAACATTCTAGCATCCTATCAAGTAAACATAATCCTAACTCCCTAAGAATTTGCTAAACATTGTCACAATTGAATAACTAAGATGAAGAATCAATAGAAGCATTATAAAGGAAAAGTAAATTGCAATTGAAATGACACTTAGCTTTGATTATAGAAATTGAAGATTGAAAAGCAATTACAAGTTGAATTCTTACTCTAGATCTTCAATGGTGTTGATGGATTATAATGCAGAAGTGTGTGGGAGAGTTTCTATGGAAGAAGACCTAAAGGGAGAAACTAAGGTAACAAAAGATTAGTCAAAACAACCGCTCCAAGCAATTTAAAGTCGAAGTTCGCGCCAAAATAAGCGCGCGCCTCGGATTCGCTACAGGGCTTGTGGTCACGATGGGGTTCACGGTGTGTGTTCCACCGTGACTTTTTAGCATAGTTCGCAGGTTCCAGAGGTCACGGTTAAGTTCACGCCGTGACCATGACCGTGACCACCCACTCTGCCCAGCAACTCTGGTTTCTATGACATTTTTCACATTGTAGACGTCCGAACTAGACTTTGTGATCTTCATGAAAGTTGTAGCCCTTTGAGTTTTTGTTACAATTCCACTTGAATCACTTCATTTGAACACTCCTAGCTTGAGATATGCTCAAAATACTAAGATGTCACCTGATAGAGAAAAAAGTGCAAAGCAGAATGGTGCCACGCTGGCAGTCACGGCGTGACCACCAGCGTGACCCATGTTCTTCACTTCAAAATGCATGTTTATTAATCTCCTTTGTTCCTTTGGCTGGTCAAAATTTAATATTTGAAGGACCATGGGTGGTTAACTTGGACCACAAATGGTTAAATTTGAAAGTCGAAGGACCACAGATGGTCAATTTGAAAGTTTAGGACTAAACGTGACAAAACCACTATACTCGGAGGACCTTGTTAATGATGTTATTATTTCATGTTGTATTTGTGTTATAGTATAGTTAATATTTATGTGGTAGTAGATTGTTTGACTAGTACAAGTCTATTAGTTAGGAGAGTCTAGGGTACTTCTATTTGATATACTATTGCAATCCTTATCTCTTTGGACTGATTTGAAACACTTTCTCTCATCTGGTATAAGTTAGCTATAGGCTATCGATCATTTTCTCTCTCTCTCTCTCTCTCTCTCTCTCTCTCCACCGTGAACAACCGAGCACCACCCTAAATGTCAACCAATTCGTCGGAACGAACGGTCACTGCCGCCGGTGCTTCGTCTCCGGCCACCCACCCCAATCCCCTAGCCTCAGCTCATCACTTTGTCTCTATCAAGCTAACGTCCAGGAACTTCCTGTTCTAGCGTACGCAACTAGTCCCGTTCTTACGCAGTCAGGATCTCCTTGGGTTCGTCGACGGCGATACGCTGTGCCCTCCGCCAACCGTCGACGCCTCCCCCGCCTCCGGTGAGTCTGCATCCGGCGCCACTGCCACGGCTCTGGTCCCTAATCCCGCGTACAAGGCATGGGTGCAACAGGATCAATCTATCATATCACTCATCATCTCCTCGATGTCAGACGAGGTCATGCACTTGGCCGTTAGCCGGAATACCTCCCAGGAAGTATGGTGTTCCATCACTGTGGCTCTTGGTTCCTCCACCCACGCACGTTGCCTCAATCTACTCGGGTAATTCCAGTCACTCCGGCAAGGTAATGCCTCACCGGCTGATTACTTGGGATGGGCAGAGCTCATCGTGGGCGTTGGCACAGGCCAGCCGACCACTCTCCCTAGATGAACAGAATCTATATGTATTTCGGGGACTGCGTCCAGAATACAGGGCTATGGCGGCTTCGCTCACTGTTATAGGTAACCCGGTCTCTCTCCCGCAACTCTCGGATTACTTGTAAGCTCAAGAGTTCATCATCTCTGATGAATATTCGGTGGCGGCTGACGGCGGCAATGGGGGGGTCGCACACTGCCTTGTATGCTGGTCGCAGCCGTGGTGGTTCGAACGGCGATGGTGGCCGGCATGGATCCAACCAGCAAGGTCGTGGTCGTGGTGGTCGTGGTGGTCAAAGATGTGGTGGTCGTGGCGGACGTGGTGCGTCGAGATGCCAAATCTGCCGCTCCCATGGGCACACGGCAGTTTATTGTTACAAGAGGTATACAACTCAGCCAACGGCGCAGGCGCATGTCGCGGTCTCCAGCGAAGGCCCAGCAGTAAGCTCGACGGTGAGCACGGCGGACGGCTGGTTCCCGGACACGGGGGCCACAGCGCATGCCACGCCCGATGCCGGGATGCTAACTCACTCCGACGAGTACAACGGCCACGATGTGCTTTGAGTCGGTAACGGCGCAGGTTTGGTTATTTCACGAGTTGGTCATGCAACTATCCCTTCCGTTTCGAAATCCCTATGTCTATCTAATGTGTTACACGTACCAAGTCTGTCTGTACCACTTTATCTATCCATAAATTCACTAATGAAAACAATGTTTATTTTGAATTTCATAAAAATTGTTTTCTTGTGAAGGATTCCACAACCAGGGTAGTTCTTCTTAAAGGACCCACCTCGAGTGGCTTGTACAAACTTCCAGTGTCACAATCTCAATTCGCGTTCGTCAGTTCCCGAACTTCTCCCGCAGTGTGGCACTGCAGACTGGGTCACCCATACGGTCACGTCCAAAATCGAGTTCTCCAAAGTTGCCCGGTTGAGTCAAATAAAACAAAGTCCGTGAAGTCGTGCACAGCTTGTCATCTCGGCAAATCGTCGCGTTTCAAATTAGATAGGGTCGAAACTTCTAGTAATAATGTTTTAGATTTATTGTATGCCGATATATGGGGACATGCTCCTGTAATTTCCTCTAATGGCTTTCGGTATTTCTTGCTTTTTGTAGACGATTTCGCACGCTTCTGCTGGTTTTATCCGTTACGGGTAAAATCGAATATATATAAAATATTCGAGTCGTTTCGTGTGTTGGTAGAGCGCCAATTTTCCCGCTCTATCAAGTCTATTCAATCCGACTTAGGGGGTGAATACCGAAAATTACACAACATATTCAAATCACTTGGCATTAATCATAGGCAATCTTGTTACTACACACATGAACAAAACGACAGAGTTCAACGTCGAAATAGACATATCGTCGAAACCGGCTTAGCTCTTCTCGCCGAAGGCTTAGTACCCCTTCACTATTGGGACTATGCCTTTGAAATTGCCACTTGCCTAATCAATTATCTAGCCTCGTCAGTTTTAAAATTCGAAAGTCCTTATTCCCGTGTACATAAAGTGTCACCACCGTACACGTTTCTACGAGTCTTCGGGTGTCGGTGTTACCCCTATCTTCGGCCATACAATCGGCACAAGATAGAGTATCGCTCGGCTCCCTGTGTCTTCCTAGGTTACCCGCCGTCCTTTAGGGGATATAGGTGCATGGATCTGATGAGTGAAAAAATCTATATCTGTCGGCATGTCCGGTTTGACGAGGCTGTTTTTCCTTTTTCCACAGGACAGGCAACGCATTCTTCATCACCACTGCCCGTGCCATGGGCATCTGGGCCAATAATTCCCCGGATTACTCAAGCGGCTACACCGATAACACCGGCTCCAACGCCCTCGGGATCCGATCCCACACCGCTAGCACGGGACTCCGCACCTTTGGTTATTGAGGGCCCAGCACCTGCACCGACTAGGTCCCAGTCAACCCGTGTTCAAACACAGGAACGGGGACATGTCATGCGCCTCCGTCACATGACCCAAGGCACGAATGAACCCTTTCATGCTTTAAATGCCACTACTGATCCTACTTGCTACTCACATGCTGTAAGGCATCCACAGTGGCGTGAGGCCATGGACCTGGAGTTCAATGCGCTTCTTCACAACAACACTTGGCGTCTCGTACCACTTGAGCCGCACATGAACATCATTGGGTGCAAGTGGGTGTTTCGCACCAAACGCACGGCTGATGGTTTGGTGGAACGCTATAAGGCATGCCTCGTTGCTAAGGGCTTCAACCAGGTTGCAGGAAAAGATTTCTTCGACACCTGTAGTCCTGTTGTCAAACCGACAACAATCCGGATGTTATTCTCTCTTGCTGTGTCGAATAGCTGGACTCTACGCCAGTTAGATGTCCACAATGCCTTTCTAAATGGGCGCTTAGCCGAAACGGTGTACATGAAGCAACCCCCGGGATATGAAGACCCGGCACACCCCGGTCATATATGCCATCTTCAATGCTCTCTATACAGTCTCAAGCAAGCCCCTCGGGCTTGGTTCAAGAGACTTCACGATTTTTTACTATCTACAGGTTTCTCGTCATCCAAAACAGATGTCTCGTTGTTTCACTTCACCTCCGGCTCCTCACGGGTGTTCTTACTTGTTTATGTCGATGACATCATTATGATGGGAAACGATGCTGCTCTAGTCAACTCTTTACTTCAACGCTTGCCCACAGTTTTCAAGATCTGAGACCTTGGCACACCTGGGTTCTTTTTAGGTATTGAAACAATTGAAGTTGATGGTGGCCTAATTCTCTCAAAGCGGCGCTACATGACTGATCTGCTTAACCGTTCCGGGATGATAGACTGTAAGCCGCTAGCCACGCCAGCAGCTGTCACACAAGTGGTAACTCCTTCAGCACAACCGTGTGAGGACCCCACACAGTATCGCCGCATAGTGGGCACCTTGCAGTATCTGACTATCACTCAGCCAGATCTCTCTTATGCGGTCAATCGTCTATGCCAATTTATGCACTCCCCAACTATTGACCACTGGGGCTTAGTCAAACGTGTTTTGCGATACATCAAAGGCACTCTCGACTATGGCTTACGTCTCTCAACTTCTGCATCCGCCAACATTCACGCTTTTTCAGACTCCGACTGGGTTGGGTGTCCGATTGACAGAAAGAGCACAAGTGGGTATGCTGTCTTTTTGGGCTCAAATCTGATTTTTTAGCTCTCCAGGAAGCAACGCACTGTGGCTCGCTCATCCACCAAGGCTGAGTATAAAGCACTGGCTGATGTCTCGGCAGAGGTCACGTGGGTTGTCTCATTATTACAAGAGCTTGGTTTACACTCTGGTCAGCCGTCGACTCTCTGGTGCGACAATCTTGGAGCGACTTATCTCTGTGCCAATCCAGTTTTTCACGCCATGACTAAACATGTCGAAATCGACTATCACTTCGTCCGCGACAAGGTCGCCTCTGGGGACTTCGTCGTCAACTTTGTGTCCACCAAGGACCAGCTAGTAGATATCTTCACTAAACCGTTACCTAGGCCGAGGTTTGCAGCTCTTCGAGACAAGCTCAACGTTGTAGCACATCAACCTTGTGCTTGAGGGGGTGTGTTAATGATTTTATTATTTCATGTTATATATGTGTTATAGTATAGTTAATATTTATGTGGTAGATTGTTTGACTAGTACAGGTCTATTAGTTAGGAGAGTCTAGCATACTTCTATCTGATATACTATTGTAATCCTTATCTCTTTGAACTGATTTGAAACACTTTCTCTCATGGACCTCAAATGGTATTAACTCTTTCTCTTTATAACAAAATATACAATATAAATATGATGCCGCCAATACTTTGAATTTAACTTTTTTACTACAAATTTTAATGATTATCTTGATCAACTTTAATGTGGGATGATTGCAATGGGATTCGATCCCCACGTCAATTAAAATAAACATTACTCCGTAATTAATGTTGTTCGTATAGCATGGTTGGTTGAGCACTGCAGACGTTGTAATGTCGAGTGATGGACACTTTGAACAAAATTCTAAATATCATACCTACAATTGCTGGTGAAATTTATTGGACTTCAATATGCGAGTTATATCAAATTAATTATTCAGAACCAACAAAATAATATAAGATTTGATTAATGATTCTATTGCAACATATCCGGGATTGTGTTATCATACATGTCTTTCGGAAAGACAACCAAGGCACGAATTTTCTCGACAACTTGGGTCAAAACAGTCAATAAGGCACAACGATTCTGAATCACCTCCGGACAGCTTGTTGAATATCATGGAAAGGGACGCTAGAAACGTGACTACAAGAAGAGTTTACTAATCCTGTGACCCCCAGTCCTTCCCGTGCACCAAAATATATATAGAGTTTGACTCTCATGAGAATCACCTCCTAGGTGAGAATGTGTGGTCTAATATGAACTATTAAAATTAAAATAAAGGATGCATGTACGACTATGATAAACCAACAAATCTACTTAGATTAAGGAAATTAGGAGAATAAAATAGTCAAAAATATTTGTCAAAGGACAAATTAGACTTCCAATTAAGCAACAATCAACCGCATCAAACAATGAAAATATTCCTTCTACACTACAATTTCCCAACCTATTTTTTCTCTAACAATAAAATAAACTAATATTTTTAATACTAATATACACACCCACGACACACTATAATGCACGACAATTATTAATACCAGAATGCAAGACAACTAAACCAGTGACGCACTGATATCTAAACAATGCACAACTCATAGTTCGACGATGCACCGCCCAGCTCCCCAATGCACATCTCAAAAACTTATGAAGCACCCGCTCCTAAAATCACAGATTTATCAACAACTTTACGATGCACTGCACTAATGCACATCTCACCAGCATACGAAGCACAACTCACAACAGTGGGCTGCACAACCAACATAATCGAATGTACAATCGTACTATCCAAAATGTGTACATATACACCAACATCCAATTATAGACAATATTATACTAAAAAAACCAAGCGAAAAAATTTTAAAAAAAAATTACTGATCACTTTTCATGGACGAACACTCGATCGATGATGAAGAAATCGCGACTCTAATTTGCAACCGTAATGATCCAAGAAAATATGAAACCAATCTGGTCACATCTTTAGTAGTTACAAAAAAAAATAAAAAATGCTACTACCCCAACTTAAAAAACCAAACTGTGTCATCTTAGGAAATAAAATCTAAATCATCCAAATAAAAAACGAACTCACAAAATTAGACCACAGTTCTCACCTGCAACGACGAGGGGGAGTAGAAACCAATCGCAAACTAGACGTGAGAAAGCTTTGCGATGACGATAGAGTCCAGCCTACGACTCTCAACTTGAGATTGCGAAGATCCAGCAAGAAAGACGGCACCGTCCAGTCTTCCACCCACATACATAACCCAAAAAACCTAAAATATAACTTGATCAGCGAAAAAAAGCCATTATAAATTATTAAACATCCACCATTGATTAAATAAAATAAAAGGCTTAGAGTAGTTCTTAGGTTCCTACCTGAAGATGGTTTCCTATATGATTGTTATATATATATATATATATATATATATATATATATATGAATGTATAAAATCAAGTGTAAAGAGATGCCTAGGTAAAATATGCAGAGAAATTTGAACGGTTGATCTATCCAAATTAATTACTTTAAAAAAGGAGAAAATTTTTACTACACGCTCAATATAACTTTGTACACGTGTAGTGCGAACTTATACACCAATAGTATAGAAATACGCAATTGAAGTGTAAAAATTGTGCACTTCAAAGTTAAAAAAATTACTTAAATATCACTATATTTTTTAAACTTATATTACTTTATGCACTTGAAGTATAAATCCTATGCTCCTATACTACAAAACTTGTGCACTTGAAGTACAAAATTTTTACACTCTAATATAACCTTGCGCATTTGTAGTATAAAATTTATGCACTTGTAGTATATAACTTGTGCACTTGTAATATAGAACTTGTGGACTTCAAAATTATAAACAATTTTCTTTCATTTAGAGATGTTGACCTCGATCAGATTAAGAGTTGAGATTTCACCTTATTTTTTTACCTCGTCACCTCTTTTTATTTGCTGCAATACCTAGTATTGGATCAAATTAAAAGAGGTGCTCATGTAGAAAATGGGGTGAAATCACAACCCTTGATGTGGTTCATATCAATGTCCTTGAGTGAAGGTAAATGTTAAATAAATAAATAACAGTGGCATTATATATACGTATTGGTTCAAATAAAAAGAGGTGCCCAAGTAAAAAATCGGGTGAAATCCTAGTTCTTGATCATGTCCATCTTAATGTCACTAGATGAAAGAAATTTTCAAAAAAAAATAAAAATGCAGTGGTGTTTTGTTATTGTTCTCTAAGAAGTAATTTCAGCGGAGCTCCCTTGTTTTTTGTGGTAATTTCAAATTTAGTCTCAGACTATCGTTTTTGTCATTTGACACCCTAGACTATCATATTTTTAACACTTTTGGTCCTTCCGATTATCTTTTTCGGTGAAATCCTATTTTACGCAAGGTATTTTCGTCTCTTCAATTTTTTTTATTAGTTTTCTACTGAGTTAATTCCAACAGATGTCCCTTGTCTTTGTTGACATTTGAAAATTTAGTCTCTGAGAATTGTTTTTGTCATTTAGCATAGCACCCAGACTATCATATTTTGAACATTTTTTTATCATTCTATTGACATAATTTTTTCGCGTAAAAATCTATTTTAGGGTGTTAAATGTCAAAAACGATAATTTGAAATTTCCACAAAACATAAAAAACTTTCACTGAAATTAACTCTTTATGTGACTATGAAGTACATAAGTTTTATACTACATATAATAAATTTTATACTACTAGTTTATAAACTCCGTCCGCACTTTTTTTTCCTCAAACTGGTACATCCAAGAAAAAATAAAAATAAAAATTAACATATTACATATTAGTAGTATCATAATCACCGTTGCTATTCAAGCACCATTTATTATTGTTCAAATTATGACTTAATAAGTAGAAAGAATGTTTTAAATTTTAAATGTTGCATCCAAATATAATTATTCATAGAAAAGTATTACCCGGTACATTTTAACTAAAAATATTATATCTTACCTAAAATAGTCTCACACAAAATATATATATTCCTTTAGTTAAAGTTGTTAATGTTAATTTTTTTAATTCCCATTTTAAAATGGAAAATTTACATTTTTGTCCTCCAGTTATATATGTAGTATAGACTTGGTCCTGAATTATATGCGTGACTATCTTTAATTTCTAAGTTATGCATGGAATGATGATTTTATCCCTTGAATGACCAAATCAGCCACTTTATTAAGTGAAAAATTGGTGGTAAAAATAATCTGTGAGGGATTAAAATCGCTACTTCATACATAACTTAGGGGTTAATAAAAATAATCACACATATAACTCAGGGATTATGTTTGTACCACGAGTATAACTGAAGAATCAAAAATGTAATTTTTCCTTTTAAAATTTACTAAACGTTGATTTGACTCAGCCCATAATATAATTTATTTTTTACAAATTGTTAAAATGCTTATACACTTATAAAATAGCCAAGTAAAAGTCGACGTCGAAGAGCTGCAGTTGGGTAAAAGTGTTCAACGAAGGTATTGCAAAAAAATCGTCGACAGCAGGATTCGAACCTGCGCAGGCAAAGCCCAACAGATTTCGAGTCTGTCTCCTTAACCACTCGGACATATCGACATTGTTGAACATTCTACATGTTTACTATATTTATAACCATTTTTCACTTTGATAATATCAATTTTCAGTTCTCGCCCAAAAGTTTCTATTTCATATATGGTAATTTTCAAAATAATAAATAATATTAATAAAAAGAAACACAATAGATTAATGCATACACACATCATTCATGAAACTCAACAGATCAACTAATGCCGAATATTGGCTTTCCCAAATTTTAATACATATGACAAATTCGGCAATTTATATCCTACACCACGGCGCGCATTGCAATATGCGCCCAGATGCAAAACGACGTCGTTTTATTTTATTTTATTTTTTTTTTGAAATTTCCCGCCCCAGTGAATGGCAGTAGTTTTTTCTTAAAAAAAAAAAAAAACCGCTATTCAAGAATGTACATAATGTTATACTAGAATACACATAATTGTATACATGAATGTACATAATTATATAACAAAATATACATACTCTTTTTAAAAGATAATACACATAATCTAACATAATACATAATAAACATAAACTTTTAACATAATACACATCAACTATTAACATAATACACACAAATTTTCTGATTCGGATGTACATAATTGTATAAAAAGAATGTACATAATTGTATAAAAAATGTACATAACTGTATGAACAAATACACATAACTGTATGAACAAATACACATAACTGTGTGAACAAATACACATAATCCCAGCAACTTCCTACCGCGCCTCCCAAAACGACGTCGTTTTGGGAGGCGCACGGCGCACAGTGCTATGTGCGCCGTGGTGTAGGGTATAACGATTGGACAAATTCATATATTTGATAAGAGTAATAAAATTGG